CTGAGAGAGAATGTTAAAAAGAAGTTGTTGAAGAAGTTGTTTTATGAAATTCCACTGTGGATTGTAAATTCGAGTGTGGTGGTGGTGGTTGTTTCGCTTTATGGGTTGGGGGGGTTGATTGTGGAAAATTTCAGTCATTCAGATGGCATCCAGAATAATCATTGCTTGTTCATGCCCTTAACTTTTTCCTGCTTTGTGTCACCTTTTCCCCCTTGTGATAGATGGTAAATTCAGGGCACTAAAGATGGAGTTCTCCCTTCCCCCATCCACTTACGCTACCATGGCCATCCGAGAAGTTCTGAAGATGGACACAAGCATAAAGAACCAGACACAACTGAATACGACCTGGTTACGCTGAGCGACCTGCAGAGAGATCACTGGGATTTTAACATAAAGTGTTTTCCTATTCACATGTTCTGCACAAATCTTTAAAGATTGGTAGTCAGAGATTTGTATTTTTTTAAGTTTTTATTAGTGCTAGCTTTTCACTTCAGTAGTCATTTGCAAGACAGTGGCTGTAATATAATGTAGATCTTAGTGACTGGTGCTTTTAATGAGTAAGTTGCTTGAGCTGTAACATGGGTGCATCTTTAAGAAACAGGCTTTTAATAGTTCCAGACCTGGACGAATGTTTAGCTTGCCTTTTTTTTTGGCAAACACTGAATGTTTTCATGAGTTCAGCACACCTTGGAGTCTTTTCAAATACATTAAATGACAGCTTAGGAAAATAAGGTACAACAACATTAACGTATCAATGAACATTTATATCACAGGAGGTTTTGCTGTTAACATTTGCACTGGTGCAGTAGAGGATTCTGGTAGCAAGGCTTTGTGCGTGCTGTAAAGATGTACAGCTGTTTTAACTAGTCCTTTTCCTCGAGAAAATACTTGTGCGTATTTTCCAGCTTTATTTTACCTGTACCAGAGAACAGGTACTGAAAATAAATTAAGACAAAAGTATTAATTGTCTGTCTCTAGCTCCTTTCTTTACATATCTCGTTTGTCCACTGCTGGCAGGGAATGAGCTGGGCTGCTCGCAGGAAAACACCCGTATTATTATAACGCTGTTCTGAAAAGACGCGGGTTCACACGGCAACAGAATCAGCCCGCACCGGGC